TGTATCTATTAATATCATTCCACTTTTAATACAATCTGTCTTGCTTAAATCAATGTACATGCACTTACCATGGATGTATGGGATCACATCCTAAAAATAGATTAAAATATGTGTCAGAAATGTTTGCATAATTGCACAATACATAATTTAGTGTATAATACATACTACTGAATCAATTAATTAATTTATGCCATTCCCTTTCAGTAACCATATGATTATCAACACTGCAAGCCCAATACCAAAATTATATTCCTACATGTAGATGATTGAAMTTGAATACATACAGAACCAGCCAGGACATAMAWACATSCCAGTTGTCACTCTCAAAAAYCCTCTCAGAAACCTTTCAACCTTTCTGTGTATATGGTTACATCAGGAGCTACAATAACATACTYACTTCATCGAAAGTAGCTGCCCTAAATGCTTTGACCCATTTGAGAGCATTCAATTTAAAGCTTTCAGGCTCTAAATACTTTGGTGAATCTGAGTTTGCCTTCAGAGCGTCAGCTAGGACTTCAAAATCTCTCCAAACAGCCTGCAATTTGTTGACATCTAGAGACTTGACTTCAAATGTCTGAATGGATGACACCTTACACAAAAATGTGACTATTAATAAAATCTCATAACATACACTATATGTACATAAAAAGGCAGGTATATACTGTCCAGTATAAAATTATAATCAACAGAATCATAGAGTRCATTTATTTATATCTGTGAAGCATTCATTGTCCATGTAAAATACATGTAGTTCTCATTTAACAGGAATTTGCACAACTTTGCTTGAAGGAAATTATTCCATAAAAATAAAAAAAATGCACTCTACTAGTTCTGTGTAGACTATAAATTAGAAGTTTGAAGCAAACTTGTATTTAACATTAACATTATATTGTACACATTTAGTGTTTTTAGTATATTTTATGCTCTATTGTCTGCTATGTGTACMTGGAATGGAATTTTGTTTTCCTCTAGGTGTTCTTTCAGAGTGACCCTTAGGATGTCTTTGTTCCCCTTGGTGCGTAGACCATACTTTTGGCAGGCAGCTACAAGTTGCACTTTAGTAAGGGTGTCTTCACTAGTTTTTGATTTATCTGCCATGTTGCTTAAAAACTTGGCAAGTCCTCTTTCTTTATTACTGTTTCAAGATCATCACCTAATAAATTATGCAAACAGCCAATT